ATTCATTTCAATTCAAGTCAAATATTGAAAGATTAATTTTCATTTTTTTAATAATTTAATTAATTTTGGATAATGATTCTGAAACTCACTAGGCTTGTTTGTTTTTATCAGTAGTGATATGATTAATTTTAACCATTGATATTTCTTTAGTGGTGTTCTACATTCAACAAATTAAGAACCAAAATATTGGTGGTGGAAGTAATTTTAGGCACGTGACTCAATTGATAAACTGAGTTATTTATGAGTAATTTTGATTTTTGTTGTAAGAGTATGAATCATTAGAGAAGAAAAACCTTGTCCGATTGTAAAGGCTATAAGAAACTGAGGATAATATCATTATTTTCTCAATGATTGGGATAATAATTAAATTTAACACTGATAGAAATAATGATCAACAACATACAAAATGAACTTTGCTTGTATCATTAAAACTCCAAATGTTAAAGTTATTATTTTAAAGAGAAATTTACCTGATTAACATTTTAATTTATTACTAACTATATAAGGTAAACTATTAATTAGCAATATTCTTCAATTTGAACCAAAGCATTCGATATAAGCTCAATTGACCAAATATGTCATCAAAGTCATTTACTAATTCATACTTAATTTACTTGAATGATTTTTTATTGTTCTGATAAATTTCGTTAATAATTTTACATTTCAACACAAGCATCCAGCAGAATAATTTTATATCTTTATAATAACTAAAATTAGGTTAATGATGTGAAAGTTTGATAATTTACATAATATAAGTTCAAATCCCATCGTCATTTTCTTGTTAACACAATCTTCTTAAGAAAATAATTTCTTAAATCTCTAACAATGTATTTTGTTAAAGTTACCAATATTAGAATTTAATTGAAATGTATTAATTGTATAAAAAAACTATACTTTCGTTCAATCATAAATATCACTATATAAAAATTACATTTGCTATTCATTCTGATTAGTGACAATATGCTTTTTTAGTAATAATAGAGTAATAGAACAACAAAATTAATTTCTTAATATTGTTAAAAATTACTTTAAATATACTGACATATTAATAAAAAAATATTGATCATTATAATAATTAATAAAAGTTTATCAATGACATATTTTAATTAATTACAAATATATTTATGCTTTATATTTTTATACACTCATATTTTAAAAATATATTTTTGTTATTGATGTTGTGACAAGTTTGAAATTTGAGACTACTTAGTTTTTAGTCAATTTAAATGTCAGCAAGTGTTTCTTACGAACACAAATATATACACATATGCATAAAATGAAATATATAATATTACGTAAACTATCAAGATTGATTACATTTAAGTTACATCTTAATCATTTATTTATAGATGCATGCTAATATTATTTTTCTGTCATTGGAGTATCCTCCATACTCCTATCAATTGATTTTCTATTATTTTTAATTTCAGGTAGCTTCAAGAAATTTCAATAATGGTGCATTGCATGTACACAATAAGCTGCCAGATGTTGCATCATAAACGTTGCTTTCGCAGTCAGATCAACCAAAACATTTCATTTTATTTGGATTAGAAAAATAATAATAATAATAATAACAACAGTGATTTTTTTATTGGTAGCCTAAGCTCATAAATAACGCAAGTTGATAAGGAAACGTTAGCAATACCATCATCGTGTATGTTTTTTGTGCTTCACCAAACACAAGATTAAGGAGAACAATAGCTAATACCCAACTTATTTCATGATGGATAAAGACTCTTTTAAAATGATTTTATTTCTACAGTGAATACATAATGATGCGTTTACTTTTAATTTAATTTAATCTATATATGTAGTATCATTTTAATCTATTAAATACTAGGGTGCATTCATCTTTATTTTTATATTTTAAAGACAAATTTATTTGATTTAAAATTATTTGTTTTAACTACACAACCAAATTCAAATGCCTATTTATAAAAAAAAAATTATATAAGATGGATTAAATATTCTTTTGTTATTAAAATATCAGGATTATGATTTCAAAAGTAAAATAATTAAATATAAACAAATAATACAGTAAAATAAATAAATAAATTACTTAATAAATAAATAAATTACACAATTAATAATTAAAATAATAAAATCCAAAAAGGAAAAAATTAAGAAATTAAAAGTACAATTTAGCCTAAAAAATAAAAAAAATAGTTTTTGGGCTTAATGGAGAGAGGAGACAATATGGTTGTGGGCCTTATAATTGCACATTCTTTGGGCCGGTAATAATTTCACATTCTTTAGGCCTAAACATATGGGCCTTATGTTGCATATATGATCCTGTTTACCCAAAAAGATATGATCCATATATTTTTTTAGTCCACGTGATCCAGAATTTGAAACACCTTCCATGAAAGAAAAAAAGAAAAGGAAGAAAAAACAAAAGTAAACAAAAAACATCTTCGGTGGCATACCCCTATTACATTTTGCACTTAACCTCATTTCGTATTTTGTAAGCTTTAATCTGCAAAAAACAATTATTTAATATACACACGCAATTTTAATAATTAATTGAATATAATCTAAACTATATAAATATATATAGAGTTTTATTTATATACAAAATTATAACATTTATTTATTTATTTTTCGTAGTCTTACCTTAAAAATTATGTCATATTATTTTTTATGTCTCGTATTTTTCTGTAATTGTATAATAACATTTAAATAAAAAATGTGTACAAGAGAAAATATAATAATGCTTTTTTTTTGCCGCATTATAACTTAAAAGCGTAAAACTGATCCTTTTGTAAACTATTTTAAATTAAATTGAATTTTTTTATTAAAATTTAGAACAAGATTAAATATATCGTTAAGTATTACGCGCCTGAATTAGAGGACATATTTTATCTTTTTAAGGCATGTTTTGTTTCAAGTTTGTCTTCATCATAACGTTATTCTAAAAAAATGCTTTATTAAATTTTAATATAATTAATTTATCTATAAATTTACACTTGAATCAACATAATAAATTATAAATCAAGGTTAATTTAAAGAATTTATATTAAATTTTACAATAAACTTACTTTTAAGATGAAAATTCTAACATAAATAACTTTAAATTCATATTTAAATAAAATTAATTATATAAAATCAACTTTATTTCAATTTAAATTATAAATATTATTTTAAACGCACACTTAATGGATGTAATTTAATTGATAATAGACCAAAAGTCAAAAAAGCTAAGGTTAAAAAAAATATTCATTAGACAATAAAAGAAAAAGCTAAAGGCGTTCGGTCTTTTGAGATGCAGTGCTCTGTCCTTCACATCTTTTCATGCTGCACCATCTCAAACACTTCTCCAATTTTTCTTTTTCTCCATTTTTATGAAGCTTCAAACACGTCAATCGAAAAGCATTTGATGCCGAAAGAAACAGTTGACTTTTTTTTTTTCCTATGCATTTAGAATTAGGTCATAGGGAACAACAACCACCCTCTCTCCATGCTCACCCCTGAATTTGAGTTCTATTCGTCAGTTCCATGGTTCAATGAGAGAGGCACAGAAAGAGTTATATGTTATAATTCATATACTTCCTACTATATTATACAAGAAGAGTATTGGAAATATATTTTTAGTATAATTTTTATATTAACAATTTATTAAAAATTAGAGAATTTTTAAATTCAAATGAAATATATATATATAAATAAATTTAATTAACAATTTAACATAAATTTAAATGAATACGACAAAAAAAATTGTTACAGGCTTTTTTTTACCATATAATATAGCTGGGTAGAGTCTGCGGGATTTATTTTTTATCTTTATTTATTGCATTAATTCAGTCAATTAATGCTCCTCTTATTCTCGATTCAAAGAGTTTAAGTTAATTTCATTGTAAATTATAATGATGTATTGATAACATAAAACTCTATAATTTATAATATTTTTTATTCTTTACCCATAATATTTAAAGTAATCACCAATAACAAAATTTATTTGTTGAGAATATTCTAAAAAAAAAAGAGGTTCAAGTTAATTATAGTAATCAGTTGATATTTTTTCCCAAGCTCAAAATGTCATTGAATTGCAATGTTTACAAAATGTCTTTAGAAAGGTACAAATTTGCACATGTTGATAAATGTTAAATCTGCCTCTTCTCCAAATATATGTATATTTCGTGTAATTCGATAAAAAAAATTCAATGAATAATTTCGTATGAACGTTCTATCATTTTACCAAGTTATATTATTCAAAAACTTAAGTAAAACATCCAATTTTCAAGGCAAATGTATATCTAATCAAGATGTTTTACATGTAAGGTGTTTAACTATGTAATTAGTCAGTAAAAAGTAAAGATTTTTTTTCATTTTTTTCTTTTTATTTATTTTTTCATTGCAATCATATCTAGAACATAAGAGTGTTATCAATTTTCACTTTGTAGAAAACTTGCTACCTTCTTTTGCACACTTTTCGGTATATTTTTTTTATATACGTTATTTATTTGCAAACAGAAAATATCATAAGAAGTTCCAAATTTTGTCATAATTTAGCTTAGATGTTATGAATATTTATGAATTTAGAATCTATAGTGCTAGACAAGGGGAAATTGATTCCATTTTGAAAAAAATATGTATTAAAAATAAGGGAATATATTTTTCTTTGTTTAGAAGTTAATAAATAAAATAAATAATTTATATTTTCCATAATATAACCCTAAAACTGTCAATCTTGAAAGTTATAACACAAGTTCAAGGTATGCCAATAATCAAACAATAAGCATCAGTGTTGAAGGAGAAATTGAAGAAACAACCCCTCCCTCTTGCAAATTCAACCATTGCTTGATTAAAAAAATTTATCGTGAAAATTGTCAAAGTATGTGCTTGCAACCAAAAGAAGAATAACACAAAAATTCTCTTGTATTTCAAATATATATATACCCAATCAAAAGTTCATGGGTGCATATACTAACGATACACAAAGGGGGAAATCTTATAGAACTTTTTTAAAATAAAAAACAAAGAATGATATGATTAATTATTTGCAAGGGGATGAGACAACACAACTTTGTCAAGTGGGAAGGATTGAGGAAAACAGAATCTTTTAGCTCTCTTTTGTTCTTCTTTCGCTTTTGGATTTTGTATTCAAATGAGTGTCCCATCGAGCATTTTTTTCCCATCTGATATCCTCATCAAAGTCCTCTTTTTGAATTGAAGTTTGTAATAAAGGGCAAGAAGATAAAGAGAAAGAGCAAAAAAAGAAAAGACGTTGTGAAGATAAAAAGGACAGCAAAAGAGAGGTCCCAAAAGCAAACCAATGGAGGAGACTGAGAATTGATCAGTGCCATGCCACTGAGTTTAATAAACTTAAATTAATTTATTTACCTGCATCAGAAATTAATAATAATTAAAAAAAGAATCATGTTAATGTGCAGCCAAATCCATGTTGTCTATTAATACAACTAATTATTTAAACAAAAGAAAAAAAAAGTGGTATTTACCTTGTCCCTCACAAATCCTTCTCAAGAAAGCAAGGAAAATAATAAGTATTGCTACACCTGCTAATAATCCAATAATTATGGCAAATGTCTTTTCACCATCGTTGCTCGATTTGGCTCCTAAACATGAGTCCCAAAAGAACAAAGTAAATTAGCTTAATTACTTTGGCAAAATATATATATATTTCATTCCTGCTTGACATCTTTTAAGATTGAATGCAATATAATATAATATAATAAGATTAGCCCTTCGGCTAATAATCTGATTTTTCTTAAGTGATGGATCCCAAAGCAAAGTAATAACGTTAACAAGAGGGTGGTTGCTTTTCCAGCACTTAAATTTCAATGGTAACTTAAAGTAATTAATATATTTTAATTTTTTGTTTTAGGTAGTTTGAAAAATAATGTAAAAAGAAAAAAAATGAAGATTTGTTTAAGAGTTAATCTTAATTTAAAGTTTTTTCTTCTTCTAAACTTTCAAACAAGTCTAATAAAAGTGTTTTTATTTTAAAGAAAATTCTAAAATCTACATCTAAAAACAATTGAAAATAAAGAATGAAATAATTAGTTAAGATTTTAATTTTATGATTATATATATATATATATATAACTCTACTATGACTTTGAATTTATTTGTGTGAAAATTGATTTCTAAAAGTGTTTTATGTTATGTGGCTTACCATGGGCCGTGGTGTAAACATGGGCCCCAGTGGTAGAGTACCTGGCATAACACTTGGCCAAGAACATATCACCAAAATTGCCACCAACACAATCGCTTCTCAGCCGTTTGATCGCCTCCGCAACGCAATCTTGACACTCCGCAAAACTCAAATCCCCAGTACACTGCGCCACACCCTTCAACTCACCCGACCCGCCAACCCGAAAATTACCGCCCGAACCCGCCAACCCGTTAAGAACCGAATCCCTCACTCCCATCGCACCCGATTGGTACCCAACGGAGGGACCACACTTCCTCAGCACAACCGTTTTGTCTTCAACTCCCAAAAACGTTGCATTGTCATACTTCACGAAACAACCGTCGAGTTGCACCGCGCCGCCGCACGTCGCCGGGCAGAGTTCGCCGGCGCGTGAGATAGCGCGTGCGACGCAGGTTGCGCAGTCTGGCATGGCGAGGTCGCCGCGGCACTGGTAGAGACCGTAAACAACGTCGTTTGGGCTGGAACCCACGACGGTGAAGTTGTTGTAGGAGGCGTAGGTGGCTGAGTTGACGAGCGAGGTGAGGAGCGAGTTGAGGTTGGACTCGTAGGGCGAGTTGGGGGTGTAGCGTAGCTGCGTGCACCCGCCGTAGAGAAAGAAATCCGTGGAGGAAGAGAGAGAAAAAGGGAAATTGGAGAGTGAAAGAACGGCGAAGAAGATTGAGAGGGAGAGGTTTGTTTTTGTTTTCGCCATATCTCTCTATGGGTGAAGTGTGTGAGGTTTGTTTGAATATGTTGACGTGTGATTTGAATGCATGTGTTGGAAGGAGATGTTATGTTATGATATGCTACTGAATCATGTGCATGTCATCGTGGATTTGATTTGATTTGATGATATAAACGATGGCTGTGGTGATGGAGGAGTGAAGACTCGAAGACCTCTCAACTTGGATATGGAAGTGTTGCTTTAAATAACCAAATCCACGGCTTAGCCATGTCATCTATGTGGTGAATAAAACACAAAAGCTTCTCTTCATAATTTACAGCTATGGACCCTGCATGTGGGGGTAGATCTTTTTCTTTTTCATTTTTGAAAGACTATACTCATATCCCTAAAAAAGTATTTCATTATTCTAAAATGAGATATTTACTTTAAAATATATAAAAATCGAAGTGACATGCCTGCAAGATCGCAATGAATGCATGTTGAGTTTGTCATTTGAGTTAAATCTCCGTGCATGGTTAATCTTTCAATTAAAAAAAATATATTGCATATGAACTCCTATCTTAACCTAACATAATCGCTTCCAGTCATATATATATATATATAACAAGATTATAAGAAAGTTTTGTTATATCAATTAATTAAGCTAAGTTTATGTACTTAGCATTAAAAGAAGAGAAAATATCGCGTGCAATGTTCCTAATGTTAAAGAAAATAAGTGTAATGTGCTGTCATGTCTACTTCGTAATAGTTTTTCTTGGTCTAAAATAACTTTTTTTTTAATTTTGTTTTTTCTTTTAAATGAAAAGAAATCCTAAACCCCTTTTGTAACTTTAAGTGTAACCTTAATCATTGTAGTTAATGCTGTACCAATCACTATATTCAATTTCAGTTTGAATATACTTGTAGTTCATGATAGCGAAAGAGAAAGGTATGCTTACGTATCCTGAAAAACAAAGTGAGGAATAGCATGGCCCGATGTTATATGATACTCACTGTTTAAAAATATGTTACAAATGTATAAATATAAATTCCATTTTTTTTTACGTATGTTTAAGAATACATAATAAAAACTCATATACAATAAGTTTTTATAAAATAACAATATCACAAAATTTAATAAATTAATAACAATAAATAATACATTTTTAAAAAAGTTATTATATTTAAAATTTTTAAATGTACTCTTGAACGCATTTTAAAAAAATTAATATAAAATTATAATTAATAACGTTAAAAATATTATGTCATCATTTTAAATTCATGTTTGTAGGACATAATTTTACATTACTCGTTAGGAATGGGAAAAGTTGAGAAAACAAGAAGATCCAACGATGAGGTCGGCTCACTGTTACCAAGAACCAACATACGCACTAAAATCAATTTCTAAAATCTAATGACAAATCAAATAATTATAATCTCCGATCGTATCAAAGCCTACATGCATGGACGTGTATGGAATTAAGGGCCTCTGAAAAAGTATACAATCAGACACACCAACACAGGTAGGAAAAGGGCTTTAATACTTTCCTTATTAGTGACTTTAGAATACATTAATATACGGATTAATTGTAAAGTTAGCGTAGCACACTCAGATAGAATTATAGGAACGGGCTTTTAACACTTTTTCCCCTATTAGCACACGATAACTTTTTTGGTGTGAAGACGCAAAAGAACAACTGTGACATCGCACTACACCTACCATCTTCTTGAATCTCATCTTCAGTTGAGCACACCCTAGCTAGAATATCCATTTTAGTGTTGGTCTAATTGGACATTCGGGACCTAGGTTGCATAAGCTAAATAGCTTGATACAGTTTGCATTGCAATAGCTAGCAGAGAGGTCACTATATACCAAAGAGAAGTGAACACCGAGTTGGTATTGGCATCAAAGTTATACAAACTTCCTCATGTGAACTTGAAAGAGAAACGTAGTGGGCCTTAAATAATGGCATTGTGAAACACTGCAGGAAAGTCACGGGAAAGTTTAGAGTACCGGCAAAATCACAAAGGATTTTTACCTGCTATTTACACCATGTACATTGCAGTTTCTATATTACAGTTTTTCATTGGTCCCCCAATGACATCACGCCTTTAAATAATAAATGTCTCACATTATTTATTAATAATAAATTATTGAATATATAAATAAAAGGGTTATAAATTTGAAACTAACAATCTTGAGTTCCACTTCTAACACTTACTTTGAAGAAAAACTTTATTATCTTTAATGATCTTATTTGACTCGAAAATTATTAACTTTAGTGGAAAATATCTATAATAATAAAAACTTTAAGATTACTTTTTCTCACACTCTTAAATTTATTTTAATGATAAGAAAAATTTAAAATTTTGACAATTTAAATTTAGAATCATTTTATTTATATATATTTTATTTTGTTGTTGACCCATCAAGATAAAACTTTTATTATTTAATACACCCTCAACTTTCTAACATACATGGTTCTAAGCATAAAAATAGGTCCCCTACTATGTAAAAAACAATAATGTTATATATGATTAGTAACTACTAATTCTGAAATATCTGGCTTCTAAAACAATATTTGGATACTTAAACAAAAAGTTTAAAGCCATTTAAGCTATGGGTTGCACTCTCCCAGTTGTCTGCTCCAGACCTTACTAGACGAAAAGGTCTATGATAATGATTAGAAATAGATAAGCATCTCATCGCTCTGATTAATGATATGGTGATGTACACTCTCAAATTCTATCCTTTATTGAGGCCGAAATTAAACTAAATCAGTGTATGCCATCAACATCAAACTTTGGTTCAATATGCTAAGTGAGACCAAAATAAGATAATTATGAATCTATATACCCATATATTTCTAGCAAGCTAGTTTTGAAACCCAGGACTTCAAGATAAAAATATTTCGTCTTTAACAATTAACAGTCTATTTGTGTTAAATTATTTTCATGCAAAAAAAAAAAACACATTTACCGAGACACTTTTACTTCAGTGTAGAATTTTCTGCCATCAATAGATGCAAGAACTTGAAATTTTCAGTAATTATAAAGACAATCCTAACCCGACATTCTGTAAGTTGTCCTAAATTAAAAATGGCAAAATGAATTTATAAACTCAAAGCTATAAAAATCAAATTATTTTGGAGCACCTGAACTCCCGAAGTTGAAAATGATGAGCGACTTTTGGTTTAGTTGCACGTGTACTAGTTTTGATTTCAATCAAAGCAAGCACAAAATAGTCCAAAATAAACAAGAGATAAAAAAAAAGAGAAAATAAAATAAAAGATACAATAAATTATGTGAATTTTATGTTTTTACACTCATTTCTTCTTATATTAAATTTTTTAATTCCATTTTTTATCACATCATGAATTACATTTTTTTATCTCTCTCTTCGTGTTTTCCCATATTTAGCTTCTCTCTGCTCACCGCACACTCAAATCACGTGTCAAGATATAATTATTCTAGATGATGTGATATTATGAAGAGAGAAATTGAAAAAAAAAAAAAGGAACAGATAAAATAAGTGTTAAAAAAATATGTATAAAAATCCAAAAGTTCACAATGAATTAGTGATTGACTTTGATTGGCTGATGGAAGTAATTCAAATTTCATATAAAAAGTAAAAATATTATAACGAATCAAAAGACTCAAAACTCTAGCTAGACTACCCTTCTAATGTCAACAGGCCTTTAGTGTGGTGATTATTCACTTGATAAACAATCGGGTGTTCCCCCTTTCTTGATTTGGATTAAGTATAAGTCCCAACAAATAGACTAGACAGTTAAGAAGAAGACACTTGAAATTCAATGCGTTGATGAGGTCTTGCCCTCACTAGAGAACAAGAACAAAGTTTGTGGTCTCTTTTGTTCTTCCCTTCCCTCTCCTCATTATTTTCCTTTCTTTGTTGCCTATTGCATACATGGTTTCTTTGCCACCACCATGTTATATGTATGAAATGTGGGTGTCTTTCACAATTCACAAACATAGTGAGTGAGGGAGATATGAGAGGAAAACGTAACTTTCAATTTTGTCTTGATGAACTTATGGTGCGTTGTCCTGGTCCCTTAGCTTTAGTCTCTAACACATGCACGCCACGCAAGCCCACAACTATGCATGGGCCCAAAAACATCTATCACACTCCCTCCTTACCTTTTATTTCCTTCAATTTTTCACCTCACCAACACTTTTTCTTAGTCGTGTGTTTCAGAACCACTTAAAAGACCAAACACGTTGTGGCTGAGATCATCACAAAGAAAAATATTCAATAGTTTGTTTTATTTTTATTTTTATAAAATTATGGATAAAAAGAGTTGACATTGTTATTGTCTTGTATTGCTTCACTCCGCGACCAAACGCACTACCGATTCATTTACACTCAATTCGTTGTTTTACAGATTTTTTTTTTCTTCCTTTTGGTCGATCTCAGGTTTTATGTTTTTGGTCGTTGTTTTAAGATTGGAAAGCAAAGAACACCTAAGCCCCACAATTTAGGCCCATCATCAAATTCGGCCCAGTACCAAGGTTGCGCTGAAGTCAGGAATTTAGTAAACTTTTGATAAAATTTGAAGGGTTTAATAGGATTTGAGATTCAAATTTGAAGGGTTGGAAATTTTGAGACTTCTTTATACTGAGTGAAATTTGATATTTTACTTGATGAGTTTTAAGTGAAAGAAGATTTAAATGATTTAATTTGTGAAAAAATCAGAAATTGAGTACAAAATAAGTGACGAAGGAAATTATTTGCAATGAATTTAACTAAAACACACTAACAATGTAAAAAAATGTACATTGCCAGTCAATCTTATATTATTATATTAATAAGATTCATTAACTTTTATAATAACTTAAAATTTGAATCAATGGTGTATTATAATCACTTGTCAGTACAAAGATCTTTATACCTACAATATACTAAAATTAAATTTTACTTGTGACAATTAAGAGATTGAAATATTATATTAACTCCAAAAATTACTGGGAAACCAAAATTATACATGAACTATAATAGAAAAACTAAAAATACATTTAAATATGTTTTTTTCAAAAGGATTCAATCTAGTAGAACAAAGTGTGTGATAGAAAATAAGTCATACGTATGACTTTTTCTTAGCTTCACGTAAAAAAAATTGATTCCATGTTTAAAGTAGTTAATTTTAGACTGAGAAAACTAAAATTGAAATAATCATTTACTAAAGAGCTTACTCGGTGTTTTTCCTGAACAAATGTTAAACACGCACTTCAAATATAAATAAGTTCCATAATTTGATTAGAGATGCTGCATTGTGAATATCAAACTTATTTCAATTAAATGTAATATACTCCCCTTTTCACATGACTACAAGAATAAAACTAATGGAATCAATGGACACGAATCATAGACTCATTGAGAGGAATGATATTCTAGATAGAACAAACAAACGTGATAAAATACATAGAATGTGTTGTGTTTTTTTGTTTAGCAAGGATAATTATTACGAAAGAGTTTATAACGAAACAAATACAAATCGACGTGGTTTTGTGTTATTGTCTAAAAACAAGTTACGAATGAGAAACGAAAATGGATAAGTGACAAAAATCCCTGATGCATTATATCCAATTTACATCAAAATTTTGTTTCAAACCAACTAGGATTTCCCTTTTGGCGGTCAATATAAAATGTGTTAAGTTGAACGTGGCTTGACATTATAACCCATAAGAGATTGAACGATAACATGTGGGTGTAATTGAGCTCTCTCTCTGGGTTAAACGACTTAGTTATCTCCGAATCCGTCAAAATGAGCATGTTTTTGTGGAATCAAGACAACCTTCTACTGTATTGACCATAAAAAACAAGACAACGTTCTAATGGGCATTACTTTCTATACCATTCTTTTTTATTAATCCCAATACTCTTTTTATATCTTCTAGGAATTCAATTCGCGAAGATTATTAAAACAAAATTAAAATTCTGAAAGTAACGCAAAATGCAAAAGAAAAAAATGACTTGTATTTCTCATCTGTTGCTTGGCCAAAAAAGATGAAGTAACCCAAATGCTTTGGGTAATGGCTCAATCCATTACCCCACAGACAAAGGTGCAATTGATTCTCAATCAATTGGTCAACCCATCATTGTTCCTCTTATTATTTTTTTCTCTTGAAGTGCATAAAGCCTAAAGGTGAGGCTATTCAAAATTCAAATTGTAAATTCCCCAGTCTTCAGTTGGCTTTTGGGATACTTCAAGAGTTTGGCGGGATATTCCTCCACATATTGGCAAACTTTTAGTAGTGGGTATTCAGTGTTTCCCCAACTCAGCAACTCCTTTATCTTATTAGAACAACTTATAGCATAATTAAACAAGTGTTACTAATGCTATTAGTAATTAGTAACTTTAACGTTAAATTCATATTTATAAGTTTTAAAATTTATTTCCAAAAACACATTTAGTTCTAGTAAATGCTAATCTTTGTACTCCTATGCCGGACAACGGTTAGGCACTAGTCCCATGAATCGTTCCCCACTTGTGACATGCATCTTTCTTCCCACTTCATTGCCCCATTCATAATATTTGCCCATTGCTGCGTGGAAACAACCAACAATTGTATAAGCTGATCTATTGCCAATAAGGCCCACTGAATACTAAACTTTATTTTGAACCTAAAAAGAACATTCTTTTTTTTTATCGGTTTTCTTCTCCTAGAAACTTATAGGGCCTGAATTTTCAGTACTTTTCCCCCTTTCTTTTCCTCTTATACATATTCTATAAAGTTTTTGTAGTTAGTCCAATATTTGGATAAAGCTTGATTAGTTTATTTTGGATAGATCAACATTAATCTCCCAGAAAAAATGGCAATAATCATTAATTTACTCCTAATTGCCATTGATCAAGCAGCAGCTGAAATAGACAGAAATTCAAGTCATACCTCCTAAAGATAGAAGTATATATAACGTTGGATAAATTTCACGTTCAATGTCCCAAGAAAATGTATCTCAAAATGCAAAGAAAACAAAATGGAACATATCTATCTACGTCCCTATCTTCTTCATTGCGTAAACACTTAAAAATCAAGATGGAATGGTCTCAAATAATAGACCAATTAATATGATTCAACGATCTCCATGATCATGACGTGTACCAAATGGCGCCAAAGAACAATTTCTAAACAAACTAGTTCCAAGTGATAAAGAAACACATTAAAATTTCCTTGAATGAAGTCCATCAAGGAACCCATTGGCAAACGATAATCATATGAGAGAAAATAAGGGGAAAAAGTTGTAGCTTTTCATTTTTTTTTTTAATTTGTGGACTAATGGATGTCCAAAGGTCTCTCACAATATAGATGCAGTGAATTCCCACAAATACATTTCATATGTACTCGGACAATTAGATATAAATTCCATTTCCTAGGAAAAAAAATTGGGGGAATCACCAACTTCTATGTGATCTACTATCTATTATTTATATACTATATCATTTGGCTCAATTCTTTGGATCCTAATCCTCTTAAGTTGATGCCGTTCGAGAAACTCAAAAAAGTTGAGCTCTACCCTCCAAGATGTTACTATTTACAAGTCAGATTTGGCATCTCCTATGCAATTTATAGAACCTAGAACTTGCTTCTCACGACCAAGTTTTTGACCCATGAGACGGCTTACTAGTCTGTCCAGAGCCTCTTTCATCCACCAGTGTTGACAAACATCCCTTGCTTCAGTGACGCTCATCTACACCACCCCAAAATCAAAAGTTTCAAACAAAAATAAGTGACCTTTTCATAAGAATAGAACCCCATCAATAATTTTAAAATAATGCTTCAACACTCAATCTTTTTCTTTTCAAAAAACAGTTTATATATATACTTACCCATATTCTTTCACGAACGTTTTGCTCTGGCCAGAACTCCAATTGCTCTTGAACAAGTAGAGGGAACATGTACCCTTCATAGAAAGTATCATGAGTCTTACTCTTGAAACTCCATTTACCCAATTTACCCTGCACCAATATAAAAATATAGAAGCTATTTAGTGCTTTAGTTTGCATAGATTTTTTTTTATTTATTTATTTAAAATCATTATTTAGTGTTACAAAACAACGCCTCACCCCAACAATGCCTCTCACCCCAGCTTCTTCTATGGTCTCTCTCAAAGCTGCCTCCTTTTTGGATTCATCTAATTCCCAGCCTCCCTGGTGTTTAGTCAACAATAAAAAATTATAAACGAATAAATGGAATTAAATAAATCCAAATAATAATGTGAAATTTGGGTGTTGATTATTGACTAATAATTGGGTGAGGGTTTACCTTTGGAAATAGCATCCCTTTGCCTTTCTGAGAACTAATAACCAAGACTTCCAATTCGTCTGAAATCTCCATGGAAGTTTTCTCCCCAATCTTAAATCTATATGGTATGCACCTGCATGAGCATCATTTCACACACAATTGATGACAAAAAAAGTATTAGTAACCACCAAAATGAAACTCAACGGAGTAGCCATGCAATTCAGACTTCACCAACTAATTCAATTCAGTTCACTCACAGAAACTCATAACATAACAATCAATCCATAACCATTAACTCTTTTATTCTTCTCTTCATGAGAAAACACAACTTACTCATACCAAACAAAACTTAAGGAATAAAAAACGGTTTCAAAATTCAGCAAAACAAAACCGCACCATTAAAAACACAATTTTTTTTTCACTAAAACAAACTTAGAAACATGGATGAAAACAAAATTTCAATGAAAACCCAATTTCCTAAAATTGAAGAACAATAGAGGATCAGAAAGAGACGAACCCCACAACTTGACGACGACCCTTTCTGTAACGCTGCAACTCCCTGCCCGTACGAGAAACCAATGCCACAACATTTTCTTGAGAAACCAAAGCCACCATTTTTTTGATTCAGAGTTTAAGGAACAGAAACAACAACAAACGAAAACAAGTTGTGTTCAGTAGATAGCATAAGAGAAAGTGAAGAAGGGGTCCCCTTTTAATAATGGTAACCCGTTAGAGAGAGAAAGTGTGTGTGTGACATAGCAGGAGAGAGAAAGTAATTTATTTTACTTTATATTAAAATTAATTATTTTAAGGGAAGAAACAAAAGTTGGATGTGGGACCCACTTGAAAGAAGATCTGCTGCAAATGCATGCAACTCTATGACACGTGTGAATGACGTGTCACGTGACATCCTACGTGGCTTTCAATATCCGTTGGCTAGCTGTGTGTATAAGAACTTCACAACATTTTCTATTTTGTTAATTTGTGAAAGAAATGATTAAAAATGGTGGAAAATTATGAAGAAAAAAAGCTGCTATGTTTATCTAGAAGTGAAGAAGACTAACATTATTTCCGCTACTAGAAGCTCTCATCTGTTCGGTTAAACTGTTTTTCTTTTTTTTCCTCAAGAATCATGACTTTTTCGTGAATTTCATACTTGTTTGATAGTGATTGACGCAGTTTTCTTAAAAACCTTTAGTTGAAATCTTTGTTATAAATGTAATTTTGTTGTAGAGCGTGTATTCATTCGTGTTTTATAATAATAATGGTTTTATAAACATTAATTGTTATAACTTATTTTTCAACTATTCCAAAATATAATTTTTAAATTATTTATTATTATATATTTTTTAATATGATAAAGTTTTTCAATAAAAATATTTTTAATTATTTAAAATCAACTCTTAAAATTTGATATTGATATTTTTTTAATAATAATGACGATCTATACTTACAATATTTTCAATATGATTTATTTTATAATTTTTTATTAAATAAAAGTCAGCAATTAAGAAAAAATATTAATTTGTTATCAGAAATCCGGGCAAGCATCGAATATTGTTTTGGGAGAATTTGATAGTTGTGTATTTGGCACAATACGTAACTTAAATAAATAATGCAATTTTTTCAATGAAAGTGTCATTTTGTGTAAATAATTGTTTAAATTTAAGTTTTCTTTTTGTTAAATGAGTTATTTTAGTCATTTTAATTTTTTTTTCAACATTAATTTCTTAAATTTTATTTTGCAGTTGGTCATAAAAAGAAAGAAAAGATGGACCAAAAGTTAGACTTAACTTAACTTTGATCGATAATTATTTTATGATGTTAAAGACGAAAGTAAGAAGAACTGAGTGAAATTAATCCATAATCAATTTTTGTACTGTTAAATGGTTATTTTACTATCATTAATAATTTGTGTTCTCGGTTTAGAAAATATATAAGATTTTATTAATTTAGCATTTTGACTTTACATTTTTTAACTTTCTTTTATTGAACTATTTAATCCAATCAATTAAAATAATATAAAGTAGTTTTTAAAACGTAATCTTGAAGATGATACTTTTATTTTTGTTATATTATTTGTGTCGACTCGATGTACTTTATTGAAGTGTTAAAGACTTACCAATTTTAATAATGGTTTATAATAATTTCATTTTTATTGGAAAAAGTTATATGTCAATGAAAGTTAATAATCTAAAGCTAAAATACGACTCTTTAGATCACAATGATTAATGGTGCCATATGAACAATTGTGGTTCAATTTTTATTTTTTATTTTTATTCTAAGTTATACTAAATGTCAAACTAATTAACAGTGTGAATACCAAATATATAAAACTCTAACCTCGTTTTAAGATGCATGATCCAGAAGTCCATTATTCGTTAGACACCAAAGAAAATGTTAAGCGAAGTAGGAAAGAAAAATGTTAAATAAAGTTTAGAATTTCTTGAGGTAGAAAATTATCAGTTCACATTTAAACAGTACATATTTTTAGTATTTAGAGAGTATTTAAGTAAATAATTAATTAAATATCTATTTAATAATATAATTATTATATAAAGATATACTTTATAAATTTAATTATTAAATATATTGAAATAAATTAAAAATTATTTAATAAATTGTATTAAAAACTTTAAAATATGTGAATAATAAGTTATCATCGTAAGTTTAAATAATTTTTTCACAAATTATTTAAAATGTACTTCTAAAAGAGGGAAAATTAAAAAAGAGATATTAGAATGAAAATTTGGAGCTAAATTATTTTAAAATATATTAAACAATTTCCTTAAAAAATAGTTGAGGAGTTAAAAATATAAAAAAACACCTCACTTATGTTATTTTTAATAAAAAAAATATTATTTATTATTATTATTTTAATTATTGTTAAAAAAAACTTCAATAAATAAACTCGTTTTAAATTACAAAGGAGTAAAATGCTAAATATAAAGGATATTGTTATTTAAATCTTATTTCTTAAATTTAATTTTCAAAATATATTTAATATATTTTAAAAATTTAAATATATTTGTTATTTATAAATTGCTTATAAAATTTATTTTTCAAAAATTATAATTATTTTAAAAAATTCAAATTTAAAATTTTTAGAAATTATAACATCACTTGTAAAATTAAATTTTCAAAACTGATTGGTAAATAATTTTAAAATTTAATTTTCAAAAGATGTAAAATCATTTTTTAAAATTAAAATTTAAAATTACTGTATAAATGAGTTTCGAAAATTTATTTTTGAAATATATTAAACATGAATTTTGATAAAATATATATATATATATATATAAATTTGATCATAACATTTTTTAAAATAAATTTAAAAAATCATTTTAACAAGTTATACCAATAAATTTATTAATATATATATATATATATATATATAAGAGTTGTAAAATATTTTTTATAATTTTTTCATAACACCATAAATATACTTAAAAATTAAGATTTAAAAATACACAACTAACAACAATGAATGGTTAAAAATATATAAAAAGCATAAATCATTTTACAAGATGTTAATAAGATCTCTTAAATACACCCTAAATATGTTTCTACAACTTAAATTAAAAAAGACAAAAAAAAGCAAAATTAACAAAATAAATAGCAACAAAATGTGGAAAATAAAAATAGGAAAAGGGTCCTATTGGAGGGTGATGGTAAAGTGGGGCCAAGAGAAGGTAGAAGGAATGGGAGGGTCCCTTAGAGAGGACACTGGGAAGGCAGAGGGACCACACAATCACATGCAATTTGCAGTTCAAGTCTTGAAGATGCTGCACTCATTCATTTTTATTTGCCTGTCAAGTGTGAAAGAGTTTATGTTGAATCCAAATCTAAGGTCATGTCTTCATATGTCTTTGCCATCCAATTTAATCCTCTCTTATAAAATTCCACCCATTATTTCAAATAAAAATCATCTACCAACCAAGTCTCATCCTCTCTTTTATTTTCATTTTCCCCTCTTCAAAATTAATACTTAATCTCTTTATGATGTGGTTTTCAAAACCATTGTTTTTCATCTCTTGTACTAGTACTTGCTTATGTGTTTAATAGAACATGTTCCATTAAACATCCCCTTCATGCATTAAGTTTCGTTTACATATTTGAAGATTTTAAAATATTTGGAACCTTTTTTTGTTGCCTTTCAGTAGTTTACATTAGAGATTCATAAACTACCATATCACATAATTATGCTTTTACTTAAATATTATTCAACTTATGCATAAATTTTCCAATTTCGCTTTTGCGTATATTTATTATATAAGGGGTATCACGATGTGTATAACGTAGGTTTGCTCAATGTCAGAATAACATAGGCATAAAATAAATTGACATTTTCTGCCTTTCACTTTTACACCCTTAGAAATATCAAATATAAATATGTCAAACAAGTAGAAATTTCAAACAAATTATTTATTTATTTATCTATCTATCTATCTATTATTATTATTATTGTGATGATGATGATTATTATTATATATCACAAACGTGTGCTGTTGGCCCCAACATGTGCTGATTTAATTGAAAATGACGTTTAGAAACAAAACACTGCTTTCATTTTAAAGAATGATGAGTCTATTGTTATTCTAAATATTTATTATTGTATTTATTTATACGTTTTTATGTAAAATAATTTCAAATTAAATTAATAGAAAAAATATTTAAATAAAAATGATAAATATATAAAAGTGACAATAAATATTTCCTTAAAAAAAAACTGTAAAAAAAAAGGTTAATGTTTCATCGTTCATGTAATATACAAGGCAAAACATTTTGGGGGTCCTTTTAACATAACATGCCCATAGAAAGTTGAGTTGTAAAATGAGTCAATTTCAATTACTTAAAACAGTGGCTGAGAGTGAGACAAGCAGTGTTTTCATTTCAAAAGCTACTTCGAAGAAAAGGGTAATATTTCATGCACGTAATACAAAGTGAAACTTCTTGGCATCGTTTTATGAGAAGCCCACAGAATGTTGTTTTACAGAATGAGCCGAATTTCGTCAAAACAATGGCTGAGAATGAAACAATTTGTCACAAAGGCCAGTTGTCACGGATTTAATCAAACTTCATCATAATTAATTTGCGATATGATTTACGTTTTCCATTCACCCAAATGCTAATACACTTTCTTTACAATGAAGTGTTAATCACTTTCGTAAGGCCAAGAACCCTATGCAGAATGAAGAAGACTGCAAAGACAAATCAATAATGTCTTCAATTCTGGACCCGTTCACATATTTTAATTAAATATTTTTATCATTTTTTTTTTGGCAAATTCTAATCATTCGAGTAAGTCAATCAATTTTATAATATTTTTTTTATCCACTTAACAAGTTTTTTTTTTCTTTTTTCATCTTTTGTAGGTAACCTAATATATCAAAGAAATCCGCAAACTATATATTTACAATCCCATATAAATAACAATCCCTCTCCCAACATAAAATATAATGCATTAGTATAATTATAAACACTATAGTTTTTAATAAAAATATTTTTTTTATTAAATTTTATCATGTATTTCTTAAAAAATCATTTAAAATTTAAGCCTCATATAAGAGTTGGCTACAACCAATAAAATGTGTTGATATATTAAGTCTCATATTAATGGCTTGAGAAGACAATTTATATTCTCCTCAAATAAATAAATAGTTATAATTA